GGTCCCGGTAGTAAAGCGTCGTTGAGGCTTCTCCCTTTAGACTTGGCTGCAGCGTCGAAGACGATCCTTATTTTCTTCTTCAATGGATGTACCACGGAGAAATGAGGGAGGTACCATGTCTTCTTTGAATCTTCTTGTCCACCAGGTGCTTCTTCTGCATACTTGCTGTCGATTAGATGCTGGATCTGCTTATTGTATTCTGCCTTCAGCTGAGTGTCTTTGTCTATCTTCTTTTCAATGTTGAACAATCGGTTCTTGGCAGACGTGTAGCTTTCAGGCATCTGTTCATCTTCATTTTTCCATAGAAGTCCAGCTTCAAATCGACCATCTTCTAGTCTTCTGCAGGTCTTCTCTAGGATGGTGAGTGCTCTTCCTTCTGAATCCGTAGTGGGTCTTCTTAGTAGTACTCCAAGTGCTTCGATTGCGAAGTGATCCTTGATGGCTTGATGCATCTCTTCTTCTGGCGTGCTGACATGTAGACACGTGTTTAAGAAGTGCACCACTTTCGCGCCTCCAGTGTCTGACCCGTGGAGCACCCATCCAAGTCCTGTTCTTGAAGCGACTGGTTGTCCTGGTTTCCCTCTTCTTACTTCTTAAGTCACGATTAGCTCCCAGTTGTCTTGACCGATGAGCAGCTGTGGTGACTCCCCCTTATAATATAGAGAGTCAGCAATCTTCTTCAAGTGTTGACACTCTTCTATCCTTTTCTTTTCTAGGAACTGCGGTGCAAGCTTCAACTCGTCGATGGTCCGGACTCTTCTCAAGGTCTTCTTGGTCTTCTGATGAATCCCCTTCACCGTAAGGTCCAGCATCTGAGAGTCTTCCTTCCTTATCAGCCTGCCTCCAACAGTCTCGATGACCAGTTCCTCCTTTCTTCCTTGAGCGCCGATTTCTTCTGCTACCTTCTGGTCTAGCAGCGACACTGTTGACCCTTCATCCATGAGGGCCAATATCTTCTTTGATCCTTTTGACCCGAAGATTTCTATCGGAATTATCTTCAGGTATGCCCTTGCGTTGTTGACCGCATTCACCGATGCCATGATGCTCGCCACTTCTTGTGGTTTGTTCTTCTGTTCTTCCGAGGAACTTTTCTCTGTCTCGACGTGCAGCAGATGATGATGCCACCTCTTGCATTCCTTGCACGACGGCTTCTTGCAGCTCTCCTTCCGATGTGTCCCTTGTAAACACTTGAAGCAAACGCGGCTTTTCTTCACTATTGCCCATCGATCTTGCACAGACGCCTTCAGAAACTTCTGACACCCGACGAGGAAGTGTTCACCCTCACACATAGGGCAAGTCTTCTCTGATCTTGAAACCTTTTCTTTGAAGTCCTTTTCCTTAGTTGAATGCGTTGCTTGTCGATGAGTCCGCCTGAACCCGCTCTTCTCTTCTGTTGATGCATAGGCTCCACACTTGTCTGCTTCTCTGTTCAGGAACTTGGACACCAGTGTTAGGTCGGAGAACTCGCCTTCTTCTGTTGTTTCAATGAAGTCGTACCATCGGAACTTGAGGATCGTAGGCATCTTCTTAATAATTTGTTTCACCATCTCAGGTGAATGCAGGTACTGTGGTTTCTTCAATCCTTTTATTGCCGCTACGCTGTTGCTGATCTGGCTCGCGAAGAGGCATATGTCCCTTGGGTTTTCAGAAATCTTCGGCAACGTTTTGACCTTGTCCAACTCTGCCAGCACCAGTGCATCTGGTCTTCCATATCTTCTTCTGAGGGCTTGAATCACTTCCATCGGAGAGGCTTCGGAGTACAGAAGACTCTTGATAGCTTCTCTTGCGTTGCCCTTCAGTGCTCTTCTTAGCCGAGCCATATTCTGGACGTTGTTGAACATCGGAGCTGTATCTTCATAGACAACCTTGAAGGCCATCCACTCGCTGCTGTTGCCGTCGAAGTAGGGTAACTCGTGAATGTAAGTTGGCTGTCCTGCTGGTCCTCGCGTGGTAAGAGCTTTGGCTAAGTAATTAAAGCCTACCTATTAAATACATACCTAATCAAATATTTTCGAAATCGGTGCCAGCCCATACAAAGCAAAGCACACCGACTTCGAAAATATTTGATTAGGTATGTATAGTAAATGAAAACTACCAATCAGTTATTTTTTACTTTTTAGTGCTTTTGTTTGAAGTCGGTTTTTATGTTTTTGTTAAAAAGTTTTTATTAACTAGTATTAACTGAAATTTTTCATGGTTAAGGGGAAAAAGTTGTTTAAGTATTCTAATAATGGCTAGGGTGTGTTACAATCACATTGCTTTGCAATCACATAGTACACAGTATAATTATATATTATTTTATTACTGTGGATACAAAAATTATTAATGTGAAAGTTTGTGAAGAAACTATCCTAGTCTACTTTTTCTTTAGGCGCGGACTTAAACTTTGTTGGCAACTAAGTCATTGCGGATTTTGTCAATAGGTGGTTTTAGCACATTATTTTGTTTTGTTAACGTATTCAAAGCACCCTATCTATAATACTTTCTTAGATTTACGCGAATATTTGATATTATAAATAAAACTATCTTTTCGGATTTTTTCGCGGATTTATTTGGATTTTTGGTTCCCGACGTTTCGAATGCTTTACAGCATTCATGGTCACGGGAGAGACTGAGGTGTTACATGTCTCGAAGGTGTAGTTGTACAGACAGACTACCCAAAATTAACAAAATTAAAATTTTCACCAATTACCTTACAATATTTTTTAACTTTAAGCATTTTTATAATTTTAATTAGTTTTATAATTGAAATGGAATATTATTTATTTAATTTTGCTGTTATTATTATGATTATTACAATTTTAAAAATATTAATTAGTAATCTATATTTAGTGTTGCCATTATTATATTTATAACCATATAGAAAAATATAAAATATAGTATTAATTATTTTTCAGCCATATAATTGTTCTATGTGAAATTTAAAAACTTAAAATTTATTAAGGACAATAATTTTAATTTACTTTGCTATTATTTAAAAAGACAATTTTCTAAGCAAAACTATTACTATATACTTTTACAAATGAAAAATGAAAAACATTAATCTGTTAAGTAGTCATTTTGATCCACACAGTAAGAAATTACTACATCTGCCTGTCTGTTATTTTTATATTTATTGTTTGTTTTTAATATATTAGTAATAGGATCCCACGACGATAGTAGTACCCAACCATCTTCCATTTTCAAATTTCAGTAGGGAATGAAGCCGCTGCTGAATATGGGAATGAAGCCTTGAAAGATAAGCAGTATCAAAACTGTGTTTGCCGAATTTCGTTATGGATATATTTTACTGAAAAATGCGCAACAATCTTGATCGAATCGATCCATTTCTGAAACGTTCGATTACTGGTGATGAAAATTGGATAGTTTATGACAACGTTAATCGGAAAAGATCGTGGGTGATGCAAGATAAGCCAGCCCAGAGGACACCAAAAGCTGAGATTCATCAAAAGAAGACTATGCTGTCAAGTTAGTGGGATTATAAAGGAATTCTGTACTTTGAACTTTTACCAAGCAACCAAACGATTAATTTAAACGTGTATATTCGACAACTCGCTAAATTGAGCGATGTAGTTTAAGTAAAGCGGCTAGAATTGGCAAATCAAAGGGTGTTGTTTTGCAGCATCATAATGCAAAGCCTCACACATTTTTAGTTACTCGTCAAAAAATAACTAGGTTGGGATGTGTTGTCATATCCACCATATAGCCATGACCTCGCACCTTCAGATTACCATTTATTTCGCTTAATCTTTTTAAATGGTAAAATTTTGAAGCTGATGATGTAAAATTACATTTAATTCAGTTTTTTGCTTGCAAAATCATAGTTTTTTGCAGATGGAATTATGACACTGCCTGAAAGATGCAAAAGGTCGTCGATAAAAACCCACAATACCTAATTGAATAAAGTTATATTTTTAAGCAAAAAAATAATAATTTTCTTGTTCTTATAAAATACGCAATCACTTAGTTGCCAACCTTAATAGTTTAAAAATATAACATTACACAGTGTACAAAGTATTGTTCAGTTATTACTTCTCAAAAAAAGATGAATCGAATTTAATTACTAACGGACAATATAGTAATGTGTAAAAGTTTTGTTTCTCGAGTTCACGAGTGGGTTAAATATTTTTTCTTAAATTTAGTTGAGGTATAAAAAATTTCTCGGATCTATATAATAAGTATCCATCTCAAGCTTTGTTGCGGTTATAACAGTGAGCTAGCATACTTTAATTTTTTCGATTTTTATAATTTTAAAGAATGGATATTGTATGATATTAACACCTCCACGTAAATTCCTAAGAAATTAATTAATATTCTAAATAATCTATTGTTAACTGACACGCCGGCGTGTCCGCGGTCGTGGAGAGATTAAACAAAAAAAAATTTCAATAAAAGACTTAATGGCCAACAAACTTAACTCATTTTCATTTTATACCCAGAGGTTTAATTTTTTTTTTGTCAAAGATGATGGTCATAGACACATGTCGACAAAATGTCCATGTCTTTTAAAAAATAAATAAAAATTGTAAATTCTTTATCCTGTAACATCCAGATTTTACGATTACCGATTTACTGGGCGTCGAATTTGTATTCGAAACGCGCGGATTTGTATACTTGATCACTAAACAAACTGAGATTATTGTTTAAAATAGGTCGTTAGATTTTAAAAGTCGGTGTACCATTTTAGTTATAAAGTAATTATTGAACATAAAATCTACCATTTTATACAAGTTTTATATCTTTTATGGATTGGTTTAACACTGAAAGTTAATAAATACACATATTATAGAGCAAAATAAAGATAATATAAAGTGCAAATTATTAAGTCCTTACATTGCCTTGTACCTTGAAACTTCCATCGTCATATTCTTTAAATAAATGTAATATATTATATGGAATCAAACAATTATTAATATTGCATGAATTTATTTTCAGAAAATACAAGATATATGTATCCTAATTAAAAGGATGTCATGTCAAATTTATTTTACTCAAAATTAACAAGTTGGGCAAAGTTGACCTTTCCTGCCAATTCTTACAAAGTATTGGCTACGTCTTAGTTGACAAGCTTGACGAACTCTTCCTCTGCCTTGAACGTAAGAAGCAGAAGCTACTGAGCTTGACGAGGCACTAGATCCAGAACCACGTTCATTAATAATGACAATTGGTTCCTGGTTACCGGAAGGTCCGTATAATTGCGAACCGTATCCATATGTTGAAACAGTACTGTCTAAAGGAACTTGTCCTTCTAAGTCAGAGCTGCTTGAGGTAGCCGAAGCAGATGCAGACGCTGGTAATCCTGAATCTTGTTCATTAATAATTACAACACTTGGAATTTGGTATCCGTATGGCCCGTAGGCAGTAGAGCCATATCCTGTACTGCCAGCAGTGCTTGTAGCAGTGGATCCTGCTCCAGGTCCTCCAGGTCCTGATCCAATTCCGTAACCCTGAACACCATTAACTCCAGCTGAGCCAGCGTTAACCGCACTAGCAGCGCCAAAAGAGCTTGATCCTAAACCAGACACTTTTTCGTTAATAATGACTTTTTCTTGGCTTCCGTAGCTTCCAAGTGATCCTAGACTGTAAGCACCGGACGATCCAGCAGCAGCGGCTGCTGCAGCACCGGCGGCTGCAGAAGCGGATTCTGCACCACGTCCTCCTTGTGAACCGTAGAAACTGAGTTGTCCTGATGCTCGGGCTCCTGCGCCTGCGGCGCCTGGACCGAAGCCTCGTCCTTGTGATCCAGGACCTCCAGAGCCATCTGCAGCTGCGGCTGTGGCGGATGATGCTGATGATGAGCCCAATGAACCGTCCTCGTTAAAAATTACAACTTTTGGTCCTTGGTTTCCGTATGGTCCATATCCTGCACTGCCAGCAGCACTTGCTGCGGTTGATGCTGCTCCGGCTCCTAAACCTTCTAGTCCTGATCCGACTCCATAACCTTGAGCACCATTGATTTCGGCTAAGCCAGCATTTGGTGTACTAGCAGAGCTAGATGAACTTGATCTTGAAACAGGTCGTCTCTCGTTAATAATAACTATCTCTTCTGGTCCACTCTGTGAGTTCAAACTTGATGCAGCTAATGCATTAACTCCTGAGCCAGGTCTATAAGATGGTCCTTGCAATACAGGTCCAGATGATGCAGCTGAAGAAGATGACGACGATCCTGAACCTTCTTTATTGACAATAACAACAGTTTCTCTTTGGTTTCCATATGGTCCGTAGGCACCTGCAGAGCCAGGCCCGTATCCCACACCTCGAGCAGTGCTTGCAAGTCCTTGTGAGCCAGAATCTCTAGCACCACCTGCAGCTGCGGCTGCGGTGGATGATGTTGTTGATGTGCCCGATGAACCGTCGTCGTTAACAATGACAACGGTTGGTCCTTGGTTTCCGTATGGTCCATATCCTGCATTTCCAGCATCGCTCGTTGCGGCTGATGCTGCTCCGGCTGCTGCACCTCCAAGTCCTGATCCGATTCCGTATCCGTTAGCACGATTGGCTGAGCCAGCGTTTGCTGTACTAGCAGCGGCAGAAGAGCTCGATCTTGAACCAGATCCTGTCTCCTCAACAATGACTACTCCTGGGCTTCCGTAGCTTCCACGTGATCCTGGGCCGTAAGCGCCGGATGATCCGGCAGCAGCAGCGGCGGCTGCGGCGGCAGTAGCGGCGGATCCTGCACCACGTCCTCTTTGTAAACCGTAGAGACCGAACTGTCCTAATGCTCCGGCTCCTGCGCCTCCGACGCCAGCACCGTAGCCTCGTCCTTGTGAGCCAGATGCTCCAGCGCCACCTGCAGCTGCGGCTGCGGTGGATGATGTTGTTGATGTGCCCGATGAACCGTCGTCGTTAACAACGACAACGGTTGGTCCTTGGTTTCCGTATGGTCCATATCCTGCATTTCCAGCATCGCTCGTTGCGGCTGATGCTGCTCCGGCTGCTGCACCTCCAAGTCCTGATCCGATTCCGTATCCGTTAGCACCATTGGCTGAGTCAGCGTTTGCTGTACTAGCAGCGGCAGAAGAGCTCGATCTTGAACCAGATCCTGTCTCCTCAACAATGACTACTCCTGGGCTTCCGTAGCTTCCACGTGATCCTGGGCCGTAAGCGCCGGATGATCCGGCAGCAGCAGCGGCGGCTGCGGCGGCAGTAGCGGCGGATCCTGCACCACGTCCTCCTTGTAAACCGTAGAGACCGAACTGTCCTAATGCTCCGGCTCCTGCGCCTCCGACGCCAGCACCGTAGCCTCGTCCTTGTGAGCCAGATGCTCCAGCGCCACCTGCAGCTGCGGCTGCGGTGGATGATGTTGTTGATGTGCCCGATGGACCGTCGTCGTTAACAATGACAACGGTTGGTCCTTGGTTTCCGTATGGTCCATATGCTGCACTTCCAGCATCGCTCGTTGCGGCTGATGCTGCTCCGGCTGCTGCACCTCCAAGTCCTGATCCGATTCCGTATCCGTTAGCACCATTGGCTGAGCCAGCGTTTGCTGTACTAGCAGCGGCAGAAGAACTCGATCTTGAACCAGATCCTGTCTCCTCAACAATGACTACTCCTGGGCTTCCGTAGCTTCCACGTGATCCTGGGCCGTAAGCGCCGGATGATCCGGCAGCAGCAGCGGCGGATTCTGCACCATGTCCTCCTTGTGAGCCATAGAGACCGAACTGTCCTGATGCTCCGGCTCCTGCGCCTCCGGCGCCAGCACCGTAGCCTCGTCCTTGTGAGCCAGATGCTCCAGCGCCACCTGCAGCTGCGGCTGCGGTAGATGATGTTGTTGATGTGCCCGATGAACCGTCGTCGTTAACAATGACAACGGTTGGTCCTTGGTTTCCGTATGGTCCATATCCTGCATTTCCAGCATCGCTCGTTGCGGCTGATGCTGCTCCGGCTGCTGCACCTCCAAGTCCTGATCCGATTCCGTATCCGTTAGCACGATTGGCTGAGCCAGCGTTTGCTGTACTAGCAGCGGCAGAAGAGCTCGATCTTGAACCAGATCCTGTCTCCTCAACAATGACTACTCCTGGGCTTCCGTAGCTTCCACGTGATCCTGGGCCGTAAGCGCCGGATGATCCGGCAGCAGCAGCGGCGGCTGCGGCGGCAGTAGCGGCGGATCCTGCACCACGTCCTCCTTGTAAACCGTAGAGACCGAACTGTCCTAATGCTCCGGCTCCTGCGCCTCCGACGCCAGCACCGTAGCCTCGTCCTTGTGAGCCAGATGCTCCAGCGCCACCTGCAGCTGCGGCTGCGGTGGATGATGTTGTTGATGTGCCCGATGGACCGTCGTCGTTAACAATGACAACGGTTGGTCCTTGGTTTCCGTATGGTCCATATGCTGCACTTCCAGCATCGCTCGTTGCGGCTGATGCTGCTCCGGCTGCTGCACCTCCAAGTCCTGATCCGATTCCGTATCCGTTAGCACCATTGGCTGAGCCAGCGTTTGCTGTACTAGCAGCGGCAGAAGAACTCGATCTTGAACCAGATCCTGTCTCCTCAACAATGACTACTCCTGGGCTTCCGTAGCTTCCACGTGATCCTGGGCCGTAAGCGCCGGATGATCCGGCAGCAGCAGCGGCGGATTCTGCACCACGTCCTCCTTGTGAGCCATAGAGACCGAACTGTCCTGATGCTCCGGCTCCTGCGCCTCCGGCGCCAGCACCGTAGCCTCGTCCTTGTGAGCCAGATGCTCCAGCGCCACCTGCAGCTGCGGCTGCGGTGGATGATGTTGTTGATGTGCCCGATGAACCGTCGTCGTTAACAATGACAACGGTTGGTCCTTGGTTTCCGTATGGTCCATATCCTGCATTTCCAGCATCGCTCGTTGCGGCTGATGCTGCTCCGGCTGCTGCACCTCCAAGTCCTGATCCGATTCCGTATCCGTTAGCACGATTGGCTGAGCCAGCGTTTGCTGTACTAGCAGCGGCAGAAGAGCTCGATCTTGAACCAGATCCTGTCTCCTCAACAATGACTACTCCTGGGCTTCCGTTTCTTCCACGTGATCCTGGGCCGTAAGCGCCGGATGATCCGGCAGCAGCAGCGGCGGCTGCGGCGGCAGTAGCGGCGGATCCTGCACCACGTCCTCCTTGTAAACCGTAGAGACCGAACTGTCCTAATGCTCCGGCTCCTGCGCCTCCGACGCCAGCACCGTAGCCTCGTCCTTGTGAGCCAGATGCTCCAGCGCCACCTGCAGCTGCGGCTGCGGTGGATGATGTTGTTGATGTGCCCGATGAACCGTCGTCGTTAACAATGACAACGGTTGGTCCTTGGTTTCCGTATGGTCCATATCCTGCATTTCCAGCATCGCTCGTTGCGGCTGATGCTGCTCCGGCTGCTGCACCTCCAAGTCCTGATCCGATTCCGTATCCGTTAGCACCATTGGCTGAGTCAGCGTTTGCTGTACTAGCAGCGGCAGAAGAGCTCGATCTTGAACCAGATCCTGTCTCCTCAACAATGACTACTCCTGGGCTTCCGTAGCTTCCACGTGATCCTGGGCCGTAAGCGCCGGATGATCCGGCAGCAGCAGCGGCGGCTGCGGCGGCAGTAGCGGCGGATCCTGCACCACGTCCTCCTTGTAAACCGTAGAGACCGAACTGTCCTAATGCTCCGGCTCCTGCGCCTCCGACGCCAGCACCGTAGCCTCGTCCTTGTGAGCCAGATGCTCCAGCGCCACCTGCAGCTGCGGCTGCGGTGGATGATGTTGTTGATGTGCCCGATGAACCGTCGTCGTTAACAATGACAACGGTTGGTCCTTGGTTTCCGTATGGTCCATATCCTGCATTTCCAGCATCGCTCGTTGCGGCTGATGCTGCTCCGGCTGCTGCACCTCCAAGTCCTGATCCGATTCCGTATCCGTTAGCACGATTGGCTGAGCCAGCGTTTGCTGTACTAGCAGCGGCAGAAGAGCTCGATCTTGAACCAGATCCTGTCTCCTCAACAATGACTACTCCTGGGCTTCCGTAGCTTCCACGTGATCCTGGGCCGTAAGCGCCGGATGATCCGGCAGCAGCAGCGGCGGCTGCGGCGGCAGTAGCGGCGGATCCTGCACCACGTCCTCCTTGTAAACCGTAGAGACCGAACTGTCCTAATGCTCCGGCTCCTGCGCCTCCGACGCCAGCACCGTAGCCTCGTCCTTGTGAGCCAGATGCTCCAGCGCCACCTGCAGCTGCGGCTGCGGTGGATGATGTTGTTGATGTGCCCGATGGACCGTCGTCGTTAACAATGACAACGGTTGGTCCTTGGTTTCCGTATGGTCCATATCCTGCATTTCCAGCATCGCTCGTTGCGGCTGATGCTGCTCCGGCTGCTGCACCTCCAAGTCCTGATCCGATTCCGTATCCGTTAGCACCATTGGCTGAGCCAGCGTTTGCTGTACTAGCAGCGGTAGAAGAGCTCGATCTTGAACCAGATCCTGTTTCCTCAACAATGACTACTCCTGGGCTTCCGTAGCTTCCACGTGATCCTGGGCCGTAAGCGCCGGATGATCCGGCAGCAGCGGCGGCTGCGGCGGCAGCAGCGGCGGATCCTGCACCACGTCCTCCTTGTAAACCATAGAGACCGAACTGTCCTGATGCTCCGGCTCCTGCGCCTCCGGCGCCAGCACCGTAGCCTCGTCCTTGTGAGCCAGATGCTCCAGCGCCACCTGCAGCTGCGGCTGCGGTGGATGATGTTGTTGATGTGCCCGATGGACCGTCGTCGTTAACAATGACAACGGTTGGTCCTTGGTTTCCGTATGGTCCATATCTTGCATTTCCAGCATCGCTCGTTGCGGCTGATGCTGCTCCGGCTGCTGCACCTCCAAGTCCTGATCCGATTCCGTATCCGTTAGCACCATTGGCTGAGTCAGCGTTTGCTGTACTAGCAGCGGCAGAAGAGCTCGATCTTGAACCAGATCCTGTTTCCTCAACAATGACTACTCCTGGGCTTCCGTAGCTTCCACGTGATCCTGGGCCGTAAGCGCCGGATGATCCGGCAGCAGCAGCGGCGGCTGCGGCGGCAGCAGCGGCGGATCCTGCACCACGTCCTCCTTGTAAACCGTAGAGACCGAACTGTCCTAATGCTCCGGCTCCTGCGCCTCCGACGCCAGCACCGTAGCCTCGTCCTTGTGAGCCAGATGCTCCAGCGCCACCTGCAGCTGCGGCTGCGGTGGATGATGTTGTTGATGTGCCCGATGGACCGTCGTCGTTAACAATGACAACGGTTGGTCCTTGGTTTCCGTATGGTCCATATGCTGCACTTCCAGCATCGCTCGTTGCGGCTGATGCTGCTCCGGCTGCTGCACCTCCAAGTCCTGATCCGATTCCGTATCCGTTAGCACCATTGGCTGAGCCAGCGTTTGCTGTACTAGCAGCGGCAGAAGAACTCGATCTTGAACCAGATCCTGTCTCCTCAACAATGACTACTCCTGGGCTTCCGTAGCTTCCACGTGATCCTGGGCCGTAAGCGCCGGATGATCCGGCAGCAGCAGCGGCGGCTGCGGCGGCAGCAGCGGCGGATCCTGCACCACGTCCTCCTTGTAAACCATAGAGACCAAACTGTCCTGATGCTCCGGCTCCTGCGCCTCCGGCGCCAGCACCGTAGCCTCGTCCTTGTGAGCCAGATGCTCCAGCGCCACCTGCAGCTGCGGCTGCGGTGGATGATGTTGTTGATGTGCCCGATGAACCGTCGTCGTTAACAATGACAACGGTTGGTCCTTGGTTTCCGTATGGTCCATATCCTGCATTTCCAGCATCGCTCGTTGCGGCTGATGCTGCTCCGGCTGCTGCACTTCCAAGTCCTGATCCGATTCCGTATCCGTTAGCACCATTGGCTGAGCCAGCGTTTGCTGTACTAGCAGCGATAGAAGAGCTCGATCTTGAACCAGATCCTGTTTCCTCAACAATGACTACTCCTGGGCTTCCGTAGCTTCCACGTGATCCTGGGCCGTAAGCGCCGGATGATCCGGCAGCAGCAGCGGCGGCTGCGGCGGCAGCAGCGGCGGATCCTGCACCACGTCCTCCTTGTAAACCGTAGAGACCGAACTGTCCTGATGCTCCGGCTCCTGCGCCTCCGGCGCCAGCACCGTAGCCTCGTCCTTGTGAGCCAGATGCTCCAGCGCCACCTGCAGCTGCGGCTGCGGTGGATGATGTTGTTGATGTGCCCGATGGACCGTCGTCGTTAACAATGACAACGGTTGGTCCTTGGTTTCCGTATGGTCCATATCTTGCACTTCCAGCATCGCTCGTTGCGGCTGATGCTGCTCCGGCTGCTGCACTTCCAAGTCCTGATCCGATTCCGTATCCGTTAGCACCATTGGCTGAGCCAGCGTTTGCTGTACTAGCAGCGATAGAAGAGCTCGATCTTGAACCAGATCCTGTTTCCTCAACAATGACTACTCCTGGGCTTCCGTAGCTTCCACGTGATCCTGGGCCGTAAGCGCCGGATGATCCGGCAGCAGCAGCAGCGGCGGATCCTGCACCACGTCCTCCTTGTGCACCATAGAGACCGAACTGTCCTGATGCTCCGGCTCCTGCGCCTCCGGCGCCAGCACCGTAGCCTCGTCCTTGTGAGCCAGATGCTCCAGCGCCACCTGCAGCTGCGGCTGCGGTGGATGATGTTGTTGATGTGCCCGATGGACCGTCGTCGTTAACAATGACAACGGTTGGTCCTTGGTTTCCGTATGGTCCATATCTTGCACTTCCAGCATCGCTCGTTGCGGCTGATGCTGCTCCGGCTGCTGCACTTCCAAGTCCTGATCCAATTCCGTATCCGTTAGCACCAGTGGCTGAGCCAGCATTTGCTGTACTAGCAGCGGTAGAAGAGCTCGATCTTGAACCAGATCCTGTTTCCTCAACAATGACTACTCCTGGGCTTCCGTAGCTTCCACGTGATCCTGGGCCGTAAGCGTCAGATGATCCGGCAGCAGCAGCGGCGGCTGCGGCGGCAGCAGCGGCGGATCCTGCACCACGTCCTCCTTGTAAACCATAGAGACCGAACTGTCCTGATGCTCCGGCTCCTGCGCCTCCGGCGCCAGCACCGTAGCCTCGTCCTTGTGAGCCAGATGCTCCAGCGCCACCTGCAGCTGCGGCTGCGGTGGATGATGTTGTTGATGTGCCCGATGGACCGTCGTCGTTAACAATGACAACGGTTGGTCCTTGGTTTCCGTATGGTCCATATCCTGCATTTCCAGCATCGCTCGTTGCGGCTGATGCTGCTCCGGCTGCTGCACCTCCAAGTCCTGATTCGATTCCGTATCCGTTAGCACCATTGGCTGAGTCAGCGTTTGCTGTACTAGCAGCGGCAGAAGAGCTCGATCTTGAACCAGATCCTGTTTCCTCAACAATGACTACTCCTGGGCTTCCGTAGCTTCCACGTGATCCTGGGCCGTAAGCGTCAGATGATCCGGCAGCAGCAGCGGCGGCTGCGGCGGCAGCAGCGGCGGATCCTGCACCACGTCCTCCTTGTAAACCATAGAGACCGAACTGTCCTGATGCTCCGGCTCCTGCGCCTCCGACGCCAGCACCGTAGCCTCGTCCTTGTGAGCCAGATGCTCCAGCGCCACCTGCAGCTGCGGCTGCGGTGGATGATGTTGTTGATGTGCCCGATGGACCGTCGTCGTTAACAATGACAACGGTTGGTCCTTGGTTTCCGTATGGTCCATATCTTGCACTTCCAGCATCGCTCGTTGCGGCTGATGCTGCTCCGGCTGCTGCACTTCCAAGTCCTGATCCGATTCCGTATCCGTTAGCACCATTGGCTGAGCCAGCATTTGCTGTACTAGCAGCGGCAGAAGAGCTCGATCTTGAACCAGATCCTGTCTCCTCAACAATGACTACTCCTGGGCTTCCGTAGCTTCCACGTGATCCTGGGCCGTAAGCGCCGGATGATCCGGCAGCAGCAGCGGCGGATTCTGCACCACGTCCTCCTTGTGCACCATAGAGACCGAACTGTCCTGATGCTCCGGCTCCTGCGCCTCCGGCGCCAGCACCGTAGCCTCGTCCTTGTGAGCCAGATGCTCCAGCGCCACCTGCAGCTGCGGCTGCGGTGGATGATGTTGTTGATGTGCCCGATGGACCGTCGTCGTTAACAATGACAACGGTTGGTCCTTGGTTTCCGTATGGTCCATATCTTGCACTTCCAGCATCGCTCGTTGCGGCTGATGCTGCTCCGGCTGCTGCACTTCCAAGTCCTGATCCGATTCCGTATCCGTTAGCACCATTGGCTGAGCCAGCATTTGCTGTACTAGCAGCGGTAGAAGAGCTCGATCTTGAACCAGATCCTGTTTCCTCAACAATGACTACTCCTGGGCTTCCGTAGCTTCCACGTGATCCTGGGCCGTAAGCGCCGGATGATCCGGCAGCAGCAGCGGCGGCTGCGGCGGCAGCAGCGGCGGATCCTGCACCACGTCCTCCTTGTGCACCATAGAGACCGAACTGTCCTGATGCTCCGGCTCCTGCGCCTCCGGCGCCAGCACCGTAGCCTCGTCCTTGTGAGCCAGATGCTCCAGCGCCACCTGCAGCTGCGGCTGCGGTGGATGATGTTGTTGATGTGCCCGATGGACCGTCGTCGTTAACAATGACAACGGTTGGTCCTTGGTTTCCGTATGGTCCATATCTTGCACTTCCAGCATCGCTCGTTGCGGCTGATGCTGCTCCGGCTGCTGCACTTCCAAGTCCTGATCCGATTCCGTATCCGTTAGCACCATTGGCTGAGCCAGCGTTTGCTGTACTAGCAGCGGTAGAAGAGCTCGATCTTGAACCAGATCCTGTTTCCTCAACAATGACTACTCCTGGGCTTCCGTAGCTTCCACGTGATCCTGGGCCGTAAGCGTCAGATGATCCGGCAGCAGCAGCGGCGGCTGCGGCGGCAGCAGCGGCGGATCCTGCACCACGTCCTCCTTGTAAACCATAGAGACCGAACTGTCCTGATGCTCCGGCTCCTGCGCCTCCGGCGCCAGCACCGTAGCCTCGTCCTTGTGAGCCAGATGCTCCAGCGCCACCTGCAGCTGCGGCTGCGGTGGATGATGTTGTTGATGTGCCCGATGGACCGTCGTCGTTAACAATGACAACGGTTGGTCCTTGGTTTCCGTATGGTCCATATCTTGCACTTCCAGCATCGCTCGTTGCGGCTGATGCTGCTCCGGCTGCTGCACTTCCAAGTCCTGATCCGATTCCGTATCCGTTAGCACCATTGGCTGAGCCAGCATTTGCTGTACTAGCAGCGGTAGAAGAGCTCGATCTTGAACCAGATCCTGTTTCCTCAACAATGACTACTCCTGGATTTCCGTAGCTTCCACGTGATCCTGGGCCGTAAGCGCCGGATGATCCGGCAGCAGCAGCGGCGGCTGCGGCGGCAGCAGCGGCGGATCCTGCACCACGTCGTCCTTGTGAACCATAGAGACCGAACTGTCCTGATGCTCCGGCTCCTGCGCCTCCGGCGCCAGCACCGTAGCCTCGTCCTTGTGAGCCAGATGCTCCAGCGCCACCTGCAGCTGCGGCTGCGGTGGATGATGTTGTTGATGTGCCCGATGGACCGTCGTCGTTAACAATGACAACGGTTGGTCCTTGGTTTCCGTATGGTCCATATCCTGCATTTCCAGCATCGCTCGTTGCGGCTGATGCTGCTCCGGCTGCTGCACCTCCAAGTCCTGATCCGATTCCGTATCCGTTAGCACCATTGGCTGAGTCAGTGTTTGCTGTACTAGCAGCGGCAGAAGAGCTCGATCTTGAACCAGATCCTGTCTCCTCAACAATGACTACTCCTGGGCTTCCGTAGCTTCCACGTGATCCTGGGCCGTAAGCGCCGGATGATCCGGCAGCAGCAGCGGCGGCTGCGGCGGCAGTAGCGGCGGATCCTGCACCACGTCCTTCTTGTAAACCGTAGAGACCGAACTGTCCTAATGCTCCGGCTCCTGCGCCTCCGACGCCAGCACCGTAGCCTCGTCCTTGTGAGCCAGATGCTCCAGCGCCACCTGCAGCTGCGGCTGCGGTGGATGATGTTGTTGATGTGCCCGATGAACCGTCGTCGTTAACAATGACAACGGTTGGTCCTTGGTTTCCGTATGGTCCATATCCTGCATTTCCAGCATCGCTCGTTGCGGCTGATGCTGCTCCGGCTGCTGCACCTCCAAGTCCTGATCCGATTCCGTATCCGTTAGCACGATTGGCTGAGCCAGCGTTTGCTGTACTAGCAGCGGCAGAAGAGCTCGATCTTGAACCAGATCCTGTCTCCTCAACAATGACTACTCCTGGGCTTCCGTTTCTTCCACGTGATCCTGGGCCGTAAGCGCCGGATGATCCGACAGCAGCAGCGGCGGCTGCGGCGGCAGTAGCGGCGGATCCTGCACCACGTCCTCCTTGTAAACCGTAGAGACCGAACTGTCCTAATACTCCGGCTCCTGCGCCTCCGACGCCAGCACCGTAGCCTCGTCCTTGTGAGCCAGATGCTCCAGCGCCACCTGCAGCTGCGGCTGCGGTGGATGATGTTGTTGATGTGCCCGATGAACCGTCGTCGTTAACAATGACAACGGTTGGTCCTTGGTTTCCGTATGGTCCATATCCTGCATTTCCAGCATCGCTCGTTGCGGCTGATGCTGCTCCGGCTGCTGCACCTCCAAGTCCTGATCCGATTCCGTATCCGTTAGCACCATTGGCTGAGTCAGCGTTTGCTGTACTAGCAGCGGCAGAAGAGCTCGATCTTGAACCAGATCCTGTCTCCTCAACAATGACTACTCCTGGGCTTCCGTAGCTTCCACGTGATCCTGGGCCGTAAGCGCCGGATGATCCGGCAGCAGCAGCGGCGGCTGCGGCGGCAGTAGCGGCGGATCCTGCACCACGTCCTCCTTGTAAACCGTAGAGACCTAACTGTCCTAATGCTCCGGCTCCTGCGCCTCCCACGCCAGCACCGTAGCCTCGTCCTTGTGAGCCAGATGCTCCAGCGCCACCTGCAGCTGCGGCTGCGGTGGATGATGTTGTTGATGTGCCCGATGAACCGTCGTCGTTAACAATGACAACGGTTGGTCCTTGGTTTCCGTATGGTCCATATCCTGCATTTCCAGCATCGCTCGTTGCGGCTGATGCTGCTCCGGCTGCTGCACCTCCAAGTCCTGATCCGATTCCGTATCCGTTAGCACCATTGGCTGAGTCAGCGTTTGCTGTACTAGCAGCGGCAGAAGAGCTCGATCTTGAACCAGATCCTGTCTCCTCAACAATGACTACTCCTGGGCTTCCGTAGCTTCCACGTGATCCTGGGCCGTAAGCGCCGGATGATCCGGCAGCAGCAGCGGCGGCTGCGGCGGCAGTAGCGGCGGATCCTGCACCACGTCCTCCTTGTAAACCGTAGAGACCTAACTGTCCTAATGCTCCGGCTCCTGCGCCTCCCACGCCAGCACCGTAGCCTCGTCCTTGTGAGCCAGATGCTCCAGCGCCACCTGCAGCTGCGGCTGCGGTGGATGATGTTGTTGATGTGCCCGATGAACCGTCGTCGTTAACAATGACAACGGTTGGTCCTTGGTTTCCGTATGGTCCATATCCTGCATTTCCAGCATCGCTCGTTGCGGCTGATGCTGCTCCGGCTGCTGCACCTCCAAGTCCTGATCCGATTCCGTATCCGTTAGCACCATTGGCTGAGTCAGCGTTTGCTGTACTAGCAGCGGCAGAAGAGCTCGATCTTGAACCAGATCCTGTCTCCTCAACAATGACTACTCCTGGGCTTCCGTAGCTTCCACGTGATCCTGGGCCGTAAGCGCCGGATGATCCGGCAGCAGCAGCGGCGGCTGCGGCGGCAGTAGCGGCGGATCCTGCACCACGTCCTCCTTGTAAACCGTAGAGACCGAACTGTCCTAATGCTCCGGCTCCTGCGCCTCCGACGCCAGCACCGTAGCCTCGTCCTTGTGAGCCAGATGCTCCAGCGCCACCTGCAGCTGCGGCTGCGGTGGATGATGTTGTTGATGTGCCCGATGAACCGTCGTCGTTAACAATGACAACGGTTGGTCCTTGGTTTCCGTATGGTCCATATCCTGCATTTCCAGCATCGCTCGTTGCGGCTGATGCTGCTCCGGCTGCTGCACCTCCAAGTCCTGATCCGATTCCGTATCCGTTAGCACCATTGGCTGAGTCAGCGTTTGCTGTACTAGCAGCGGCAGAAGAGCTCGATCTTGAACCAGATCCTGTCTCCTCAACAATTACTACTCCTGGGCTTCCGTAGCTTCCACGTGATCCTGGGCCGTAAGCGCCGGATGATCCGGCAGCAGCAGCGGCGGCTGCGGCGGCAGTAGCGGCGGATCCTGCACCACGTCCTCCTTGTAAACCGTAGAGACCGAACTGTCCTAATGCTCCGGCTCCTGCGCCTCCGGCGCCAGCACCGTAGCCTCGTCCTTGTGAGCCAGATGCTCCAGCGCCACCTGCAGCTGCAGCTGCGGCGGATGATGCTGTTGTCGAGTCCGATGAACCGTCGTCTCTTACAATGAGAACGTTTGGTCTTTGGTCTCCGTATGGTCCATATCCTGCACTGCCAGCAGTGCTCGTTGCGGCTGATGCTGCTCCGGCTGCTGCACCTCCAAGTCTGTTTTCGTAACTTTGACCATTATTAAAACCGGCTGAGCCGGCGTTTCTTTCACTATCAGCGCCAGAAGAGCTTGAACTTGATCCTGAACCAGATTTTCTGTTGTTGACTAGAACAATATTCTCTTGGTTTCCTCTTGATTTATAACCACCTCCGTTATTTTGTAAGATTTGGCCATCAGCACCGCCTATTGCAGCATTGGCGCTAGATGTTTCAGCTGAAGCTCCAGGAACCTTTTTGATATGAACATCCTCTTCGTATATTCGTTCGTGACCAAATTTATCTTTTTTGATAACAATCGTTCTGACTTCAACGTCATCGTCTGCGTCAGTAGTGAAGTCATCGCCATCTCTAGCAAACTCTTTTCTTACTGTATATGTTTCGAGTAGATTTCCATTTTTGTCGACATTAAATTCATCGCTTGTGCTCTCATTTTTTGTTTGAAATGAATTTGCATCCGTGAGCATATTCAACAAATCATTATCGAGAGAAGATGCAGATACATACTGAAAGTAAAAAATAAGACTTAAAATTAATTGCTTAATACCCTGTTACAGTGTTATCGTGTAACTTTAGAGACCACTTAATGGACTAAGAGTTTTCATAAAATGATTAAATGATTAGGATTTTCTTACTGTATACAAATAGTGAAAAAAAACAACTCACCTGCAGTACACAGCACAAGATCACGAAGGTTGCGACTCTCATTTTGCTGTGAGAGTTGGACCCGAACTGATGCTGAAACCTGATTTTCTGGTGCTTTTATACTCAAAATTATTCTTAAAGTTTGACGTAGAATCTTATGTAAATTTTATTTCAGTTCTTATTTATATAACAATATTTACTTTTTCGATAAATTCAATACATTTTTTTATTTTAACAATACCAACGTTACCATGCGACTTAAAACAATATATTTTAATTGAATATTGATTAAGATATTGTCAATTTTGCAAATATTCATAAATTGTTTGTGTAGCTCAAATATTATTTGTAAGTTTGGCTTTGTATGTATGTAGGTACTTTACGTTCATGATGACGTATTTATATAAAAGGAAATTTTACTTATTTAGTAAATATGACCTTTGTAACTTTTGAGAATAAAAATAAGTTTATATTATATGACATATTATATTTTCATATTTTTTCCATAAACCAATAGTTTTAATTTTAAATAACTCACTTGTAAAAGATTTTTTCAAAAGGAAAATTAAAAAAATAATAAAAGTCTCAAGGTATATAATAAGATCGAATAAGATCGGACTATAGTAATAAATGCGAGAGTTCGCATATAAATTATATATGCTGTTTACTCCTTCATGCTGAAACGACTGTATGAATTTAGATCTCATTTTGTGTATGGACAGACTATGGATCTCGAGTAACGCATAGGCCCTGTTAGGTACCCAAGTCAAGGTCTGTCAGGCACCAAATCGCTTCGCTTTTTTTAGATAAACGAAAAACTACAACGAAAGCATTCGATCATAGCCAAAGAAAAGATTTGATTATGAGCAGTATTTTATTCGGAAATCAAACTTGTAATATCCTTTTCAATTATGCAACTGGAAAAATGAAATCTTCTCATATTTTTACCGTTTCGATTCGTTCGAATCAATTAAGTGGGGTATCAAAATACAGGGTTTTAAGAGGCGATTACAAAAATTTATATAACTTATTATTATATAAAAATGTGACTCTAGCTTTATCAGTCAAATACAAATTTAAAAAAACTATTTTAATCCCGGATCATTAGATACCTATAATATGAAGATGTACTGACAAAAGAAATGTTTAAACACAATGTCCAAAAACAATTTTTATTGAAATATAGGTAACATTTTTTATACATTTTAATAAGACACCTATTGCTCATTTATTGTTCACCTATCAAAGTGTTGGACTGTCTGAGAAATAGCTATAAGTTACAGATTTAATTTGCACATTAATAAATAATAGATAGGTACGTACATACATTCGTATTTTATGGTTTCATAAAATATAAGACAGAAGATTGATTATCTTTGTTGATTATATCTTTGTAGCCTAGTAGTTAACTATCTGTGAAAGAGGCTGAAATCATAAAGTACCCAGTATTTTTTTTCATACTTTTTTCCGCAAAGGTTTATATTTTCACCCGACTTCCAAAAAGGAGGAGGTTCTCAATTCGACAGTATATATTTTTTATGTGTGTTCGCGGCTAAATTCGTCGAAATCGGTTCATAAAAACCGATTTTGATGATTCTTTTTTATTGGAAAAGAGATATCCCAAGGGTGGTACTATGATAAGGAAACCAGGATCGGATGATGGCATCCCAGAGATATGGAGGGGAACCTTCGAAAATCGTAGTGGCGACTAGTTCATTGTTAATATTTTTTAAGTATTTTAAAGCACTACTATTTAATGAAGGTCTGAGTCGATCTTATGATGGAGCCGAAAGATAGTCGATCGAGGGATCTCCTCAACGATTTACAGCAATTACCTGGTGTTTAGGCTTGATTAATTTGTATTGATGAGAGCTTTACACCTAGACGCGTTGTGACTGTCATTAGGGGTCTGAATAACAGGCTTAATCGAATATGTTTTTAAAAATCTTTCTTCTTACAAATTACCTGCTTATTACGTCTAAAAATGGAAAAATAAAAACTTAAGAAAACCAACATCTAGACACTGAAAAATAAAAAATAACTAAACGGGGGTTTTCATTTAGAATAGATACCTAATCAGATATTTTCGAATCGGTGTGCTTTGATTTGTATTGCCAGCCAATACAAATCAACCAACTTCGAAAATATCTGTTTAGGTACCACTGGTAGATAAGTAGGGAAATGCTATGAAAACTGATGCTCTATTGTTTACATATATGACCGACACCGCGAGAGATCAACTCTACTCATTAAAATGTTACATTTATTTTTATAGTCGTCTTTTTCAAAAAAAAATATTTTGCTTTTTATTAAAAATAAAATGTCAATTTGGGTGTATATTTATCCTAAGTGGCTATTTCAATTTTTCATTACGATAAAAATAAGAACTGTGGGACTTTTAAGATTATTGTACAGTCGGTGCAACATTTTAAGTTTAAAATATATTATAAAATCAAGCTTCTCTAACCTTAATTTTATTGTAAAAAAGGTAAATTTTTAGAGTTCCCTAGCTAATTCGCTTTCGGTTTCTCCTTTTAATTTCGAATAGTCAAGTCGCAAATTATTCTCGAATAGCTAAAACTTCAAAAAAAGATATCTCATAGGTAGTAAGTAGTTAAAGACGAAAAATAAAAAAAAGTTGGTATAACATTACAAAATTACGTGAAAGTTTCTCAGTTTTTGAGATATGAAATAACTTTGGCTACACGCTTTGCTATCTTAGTTTTTATTTTTCATAGTATTTCGTTATTTTGATTTATTACCCCTACTGAAATACAAGCCTATTTTTCGTGTCGATAAAATGATTTAATAATTGTGTTGCTATATAAGTACAATTAACAATAAAAAACATGTTCAATAGTAGGGAACCGTTAGAGCGTGACGCAGACTCGTAATTGTTCGATTTAAAAAAAAACGTAATCTGTACACAAAGATCGCAAGCAACGCCACGAGCAGCACCAAGTTCAGTAGGTAGGCAAGTCTATTAATATTAAAGCTTTTAACAGACGGAATATTTTGAAAATATTATGATTCATCTTAAAATTTACTTTGTATTCCTACATAATACACAGAAATTAATTTAGTCTTGAACAAATAATAAAAAATAAATGAACATCTGAATGTACAAGATACAATTAAAATAATGAAGACATCATAGTATATGTATTTGCACATGTTTTACGCAGTTACACCGTAACAAAAGCTTAATTTTAATACAATTATTATGGGTATTGTTCTTGATTGTTTACAATTTGTGATCATCGATGTCTGTTAAAACAGAATTTTGATAATCACTTCGTATATAAGCGGGTGATCTTCAATATCTCGATTTTATCTGAACTAGTAACATGTTGGTAGATATTATTGTACAAATAATGTTGGTATATATTATTGTTTTTATTTTCACCCGACTTTCGTCTCATCCTTTACTCAGGTAATAAGTGTGAACTGTGAAGTCTATAACATCAAGTTTGATTTTATTTGAATTGTTTTTCTCGTGATCAATATTATTTTGAATTGATTCATATTCTAAAAGCTACTCAAGATAACATTAAAAAAAATGGTTAAAAGTACTTGTATTTAGTAGATTTTTTTCTCATTTTGTTTTAGTTTTTTAAAATAAAGGCAGGGCAGGGGATGGAAGGTAGGGGAGCGGTGAAGGTTATGACCTTAAAAGCTATATAATATACTAGCTACTTCCGTCCCGTACCGTCGCTAGGTACGATTTTGTTTACAGTTTCATGGGTTTTAATTTGTTTGCTCGGGGCCCTGACTCTTTTTCTAAAATAAAAGTAGCCTAAGTTACTCCTTATAATATCAGCTATCTACCAGTGAAAGTCGTCAAAATCGGTCCAGCCGTTTTGGAGATTAGCCGGAACAAAAAGACAGACAGACAAAAATTTTAAAAATCGTTTATCATATTAGTACCGTAATATACTTTCTTGTTCGTACCGTTATATGCATTAAGTAAAAAGCTGTTATTTTGACATTACAGACACTTTAATTTTATTTATCTGTAGGTATAGATAACTGTGGGCGTAAATAAAAAAATTTGATTGTTGGGTTGGGTTGGAAAGATCTAACTCCTTTTTAAAGACTTAAAGAAAGATATACATATCCCACATGCTTATGTGCACTCAATTTTTTTCTTGCAAAGATCAGTTATATGTATCAAGTACCATTACCATTTTTTTGTTTTTCCTTTTCTAACGGTTCACATATTATGACAATAACAATATATGTATGACATGACATACGGACAGACGGAAATTTTAAACCTTTAAAATGCTATTTAAAATTTGCATGTGGTGGATATATACCTACATAATATGTACATATTAAATAGCTTAATGATAAATAGAATAGAACACTTATTAGTGTATTTAAATATGTAAAATTAATTATGAAAAATACACGATTCAATCGTAAAAAAAACAATTAAAATGTTTAAAAATTAAATGTATATAAATATAATAAATAAATAAAAATAAAAGTTTATAAATATAATTAAATTTATAAATATTATTATACTAAAGCAACAATTTTAACTAGTCATTTATACTCCTTTCTCATTTATTTATTTACTACGTAAGGGTGGTATGCCAGTCTGGTCAACTTTCTTTATCCAATTTACATATTTAGATATATAAGTAAAAAGAATAGACGGACAAAGAAGTTTGTTTGACCACAATTTAACTTTTTAACACGCTAAGTAATTTAGATTGTTAGAATAATGGTTTATTATCGTAATACATATTAGGTATTTTAACATTCATGTACGCGACGCCTGACTGAATTTAAAAGCAATAGAACTTTTGCGCTGATTGCATTCATAAATTTATTAAGGTGAATATATCATTTATTTTAATTTTTACTTTTTTTATTTTACTTACAGCATACTAAAAGTAAAATATTGTAGAAGTTGTTTCCATTCTCAAAAAAATCAGACTGTCATATGAAAAATCTAATCGTGAAATAATATTTGTATGGAACCTATATTATAATGTATTGTATCTATGTATAATATTTAAATATGTAATAATAAACTGTACTATTATTTTATTGCATTTATTACTGTACCATATAAGTGCCAGTGCCATAACTCCAAGTATTTGTTTCATTTTGTATTTGTTCTAGCCTTGGAAAAATACACATAAGCGGTTTTACTCAAATTACAATATTTCAAAGTAAAAAATATGTAGGTACATATATGTATTACTTATGTACATATAGTTTACGTATAATTTTTCCATTTTAATTGTTTACTTTATTTTATGTAGGATATTAAATAAAACTATCTTTTCGGATTTTTTCGTTTTGTTCCCGACGCGACGTTTCGAATGCTTTACAGCAACCATGGTCACGGGAGAGGCATTTTCGATCTGTATCATAATTTCTGACAGTAAATTCATTTTTACAAAAGAGTTAGCCCGGAGGGGTTATACGTTTATATCTTCCTATTAGTAAGAGAGTTTTCAGAATGGATCAATACTTTTAGAGATTATTCACCTACATACAAACTTACAAACGTTACCTCTTTATAATATTGGTGTAGATTTCTAGTCTAAAGTATCCACTGCAAGTATCTGCGAATGCAAATAGACATCAATTAGTGTTTTAAAAATTATAAAAAACAATAGATCATATAAGTATAAAAATTAATAGGGACTCAAACTATTCGAATACAAAAATTAGACAGAATCGACTAAAGCTTACGACTCATATCTTTTTTTTTAATTCAAATTATAGAATAGTTTATATCCTTCTTCATTAACCCTTAATTTGATAATGTTCACTGTGATAAACATTCATAAAAAATAAATACTGAGCGAGTATTATCTACTATTTTTCGGTTTTTATTTTATTTATAGCAAGTTTAAATTATATTTATTGGTATAAAAAATAATTCTGCTAGTGGCAACATCGTTCATCTGTCATTATTGAGACAAAATGTCAGCGAGGCGCGGGCACTCGATTCTTCGCAAGGTAAATGTTTTTAATTTAAATGTTTTACATAACTAAACTAACTTTCTTGTGGTTTTATTTACTAAACAATGTTTGTGCTTTGATTTGGAATGGTTTTTACGCAATATTTCTTGTTTTTGGTAACTTTTTTTTGGCCGCAAACTTGTTTGTTCATCACAGTGAACACTGCCAAATACTCGAACAAGTATTGTCAATTTGATTTTTTTTCAATTGTTCATTGTGATGAACATTGCCAAATTAGGTATAACTTTTATTTACAAATAATATGCTTTTATTTCGTGGGCTTCTACTGGGCTTATTTGTTTTTTGTGCTTGTTAACAGAATAAAATACAAAACCGCACGCATAGAATACTAGCACTTGTCCCTGTCGAGCATGCACCATCCGATACTAGTGATAAATCTGAAAATAACAGTGACAACGAATTTCCACCACCATCTCCAAGCCCTGTTTCATCCTCTGCGCCTTCCATTAATTCTTCTTTAGAACGCTTAGACATCTATAGTAGTCCCGAACCCGAACATACTCAAAATGACGATGAACAGCCGTTAAAACCATCCGATTTATACCACTCCGAAGCTCTCCAATTAACTCCAGTTTTGCAGGAAATTTGCCCCCATACACCATCCAGAGAACCAAACTATGATAATGTTCCATCATTATCTTCAATAATATCACTTCCATCTGAGATACAATCACCAACACCTTGTACGTCTTATACTAGAAAAACTAGATCAAAAAAGCAGATAGCTCCAGCTGCCAAAAAATCTAAGAAAATTCCTAAATTTTCTCTTTCTTACAAATGGAAGAAAGGTATTTTTCGTCACCGTGCCGTAATCGAAGAAAGAACCGAAACCTATGTCGATTTTCCAGATGATGATCCTCTTGATTATTTGTATTTATTTTTTTCTGAAGATATATTTACCGATTTAGTAGACCAGACCAATCTTTACTCCGTTCAACAAACCGGAAGATCCATACAAGCATCAGAGAATGAGATGAGGGATTTTATAAGCATCCATATTCTAATGGGAATTGTTGAAATGCCTTGCTATCTGGACTATTGGAGCAATTCGTTTCGATACGGCCAGATAGCAGACATAATGACGTTAAAACGTTACCAACAAATTCGCAGATTTTTACACTTTTCCGACAATAACCTGCAGGACTCTGACAGATATTACAAAGTAAGACCCATAGCCGAAAAAATACGAAGAAATTGTTTAAAGCAAGAAAACGAGAATAAATTTAGTATAGACGAGATGATGATACCCTACAAGGGCAGGAAAGCAGGAAACAGGAAACAGTATATGAAAGACAAGCCAAATAAATGGGGTTTTAAAAATTATGTACGTGCCGGTGTAAGTGGAATGATTTATGATTTCGTTTTATATGCAGGTGAAGATACCTTTCGTTCGCATAAGTTTACAGAGCAAGAATCTTCACTTGGGTTTGGAGCAAAAATAGTTATAGCCTTAACTCAGACTATACAAAAGAAACCAGCGACTATATTTTGTGATAATTTCTTCTCATCGCCAGAGCTTTTTTACCTATTGAAACAAAACTATGGTGTCTTTGGTCTTGGTACGATACGTAGCAACAGGATTAGAGGAGCTGAAAAGTTTTTACCAGATGAAAACTCGATGAAGAAAAAGCAGAGGGGTACGTTTTCACAAGTTGTTTGTAATGCAAACAAATTAGTTATTGTACGCTGGAGTGATAATAAACCTGTTACTCTTATAAGCTCATTTGTTGGATCTGAACCGGTACAAAAAATAAAAAGGTATTGTAAAGAGCAGAGACAAAAAATAGAAGTTGATTGTCCGCAAATTGTTTGCGAGTACAATAAACATATGGGGGGTGTAGACCTGGCTGATATGTTGATATCATTATATAAAGTTCCGTTTAAAACTAGAAGGTGGTACATAGGAATATTTAGTCAATTACTAGATATATGTATAAATAATGCTTGGCTATTGTATAAACGTAACTGTTTTAGAAATCAACGCAAATCAAAGTCATTGAAAGTTTTTCGATATGAGATTTACTTAAGTTTAACAAAGAAAAACAGATCTATACCTCATGAAAAAATGCAGGAATGTAAAATTATAAACCCAAGATCAGCCAGGCCTACAAGCCCCATCAGATTCGATAATACAGGACATTATCCCAACACAAAAGAAGACATGGGGCGATGCAAGTTTTGTCAAAAAAATACAACTGTATATTGTATAAAATGCAATATGAGACTTTGTTTTGTTACTGGAAAAAATGCTCGCAATTGTTTTTTACATTTCCATAATAAATAATTTGTTTTATTGATATACATAGTGTTTTTATTTTACCTATTCAAATAACACTAATTTGACAATGTTTACCACAGTGAACATTACAAATTACTTATTGTTCTCAACGTATTTCGCAGTGTTCACTGTGATGAACATGGTTTTCCTGAAAACCTGTAAATAAAATATTTTTTTGTCTATTTTTCCCAAGTTGTATTTAACCCTAGGACTTTAGAAATACATCTTATTTCATAAAATAAAACAATTCGGATCTCTGCCAAATTAAGGGTTAAGAATTATTTTTAGAAAACGGGACTGAAATTGCTGGATGTTTTAGTTTTTCCTTTTTTATAGGCCAAACACTAATTAGCTCGTGTGTCTGCTAGAAGTAGGTTAGCTATCTTAGAATTTTGATGATCAGTGAGTGAGTGACAAAATTAAAGAATTTTGACTTGCAATAGTTCTAAAACTACAGGTTCAAATTCGATGTAATTTACGGTGCCTACATAATTACCTACAATCTAGTATATAATTTAATTTAGTTTTATCTACAAAGAAGTTACAGGGGGGTTGAAAATATCTTGAATGGCTTCGAGAAAAGGATGGTGTAAGGCTGTGCCATTTTTTCCTCGACTTGGCTCCGTGCCCCCAGAATCGCTTACAGAGAAAACTTTTTGTTCTCTTAATACATATATGTATGAATAAATATGTTATAATGACAAATTGTGTATTTTTATTAAGAAGTTTAAAAGAAAATCGGGGAAACATTTTGTTTTCTTGTCCAATACTTCAGTGTCTAAAATGATATACCTAGTGCTACAATACGACGTCATCGTGTAGTACCTATTCTAACTTGACACAATGTGCTGTAACGATTTGGATGCGATCATCGTTTTTAATATAAAATACCATTTTATCATTAAATATTAAATTTATATTATTAAATGTTAATATATATATATATATATATATATATATATATATATATATATATATATATATATATATATATATATATATATATATATCATTAAATATTAATTGTATTGTACATATAAAATAAAATATGAAAAACTGAACGTTGTTTAACTAATGCCCTCGTGACATTCATACCATATTAGGTATAATATTACAAAATTCGTGTTTACGTCAACCAAGTATTTTAAAAATAAATCGGACTCATAAATTATATTTATATACTTACAAAATCGTTGCCATATTAACTCATCTTACAATTGAAATAATAGTTATATATTTGAAATTACTTTATTTTAATAATAATGACAGTTTAAAAAAATGACATAAACAGCAATGTCAAATGTGTGCAAACACAGCTGTGCGCTCCCTGAATTGCATAGTCCGATGGGACTTTAGTCTGACACGACCAGATATAAAGATTCAATACGGACGACAGGATCGATCTCCCCAACATATCTAGGTTGTTATTAAAAAAAATAGTTATATTTTTTGTTGTTGACCCACCGGGGATACGAATCCAGAACCTGCTGTATAATTATGTCTGCTAGATTTAACAAAGAGATATTTAATATGCAATACATATAATACTTATATTGATTATTGTCCGACTTCAAAAAGAGGAGGTAAATTTAAATGTATGTTTTATTTTCTTGGGTGTATGTTATGCGATATTTTTCTAATTATTGTGAATCTACTATATTTCAATGACTTTTTTAATCAATATATTATAACTTCCTTAAATGAAAGAAATTTTAATTTTTTTTCTCCTATATGTAATTGTATTGTACTCAGTCCTTTTTGACGTCCCACACTGCTGGGCCCTTCAATATGAGGGAGATCAGGCCATAGTCCACCACACTGGTTAAGTGGCGGGTTGGCGGACTTCAGAAATCTTACGAAAATTTGTTAGGTTATATCAGACATGCCGGTTTCCCTACGATGTTTTCCTTCACCGTAAGACAAGTGGTAATCATGTTGAAAATGATTCTCACATGAAATGGTGATGGATCAGAGGTGCGAGATCCGATCCGGGATTTGAACGTGCTTCACTCGGTTACTCAAGCGAGCGGGATGCCACTGGGTTACCACTGCCTCTCTTATATAGATGGCATTATTAGTTTTCAAAATAATATTAATTAGATAAATATGAAATTTGATCGCCTTAAAATATTAATAGGCATTAATCTTAGTTATTGTTATCGTCTTAAAATAAGAATCTTTTTAACTAATTCAAAGACGGAAGAATGTAGCACATTAAATCATTAACATATGTGAAAAACGTATTCCGTGCAGTCGACAGTTGTTTGATTAAAATGTCTCAATAAGTCAGGTGGCTCATCGTTAAATTATGACAATTTGGATGACTCTTTTTATAGCAAAACAAATTGTTAGATGTTTTTATAAACTTAACGTTCTATTTCTTTATAGAAAAGGCAAATTGACAAAAAAGTGACAAGATTGATTAAGTATTATCTTTTCTTTCGAATTTTTTTATTGTTTTTTTTTTGTAAAGAGTCCCATTATTAAGTAAAGGTATTTTGAATAGTTTCTAACGTAATATAACTGAACTGTGCTATAAATAAATAATCCTACTAATATTATTAACGCGAAAGTTTGTAAGAGTGTAAGTATGTATGGATGTATGTTTGTTACTCTTTCACGCAAAAACTACTGAATGGATTTTGACGAAACTTTACAATAATATACTCGTACATCAGAATAACACATAGACTATTTTTATCTAGAGGCGAACCTGAGCGAAGCGAGGTTGAGCCGCTAGTTTATAATAATCAATATAATATTTTATTCCTTGGAGCAATAGAACAACATATCCCTCGATTTCACTGACTATATCACAGCGGTGGTCATTAACAGTCAGCTATCTATCAATTAAAATAATGCAGAATTCTACTCTACTCGTCCACCAAATTTCCTTACTAATAGATATGTACCATATGCTTTTTAACGTCCCACTACTGAGCATAGGCCTCCCTTCAGTACTAAAAGGATCAGGCTTTAGTCCACCACGCTAGCCAAGTGCAGATTATCGCACTTTCGAAAACCTACTAGGTTCTCTTAAATATGTAGGTTTCCGCATGATCTTTTCGTTCACCGTAACTAATAGATATAATTGAAGGAAACATAAGATTTTGAAGTCATTGGGAAACAAAATTTTTTTTAATAATTTGGCCAAACGCATACATAAAGTCTTAAATTTGGTCAGAAAATGTGCAGTATAGGTACGAGTAAGATATCTAGGTACATTATAGGTACTAGTTGTATCCTATACCTACCCAATGTTGTTTTTAGAATTCACAAAGATTTTTCTATAATGCATCGTGAAGTCGGTTAACAGCGTTCAAACACTTTTCGAAGCCGTGTAAAGATTTGTCTCAATTCATCCGATGTTTGAAGAGGTCGGTAAATATTGTAGCGCCGTTCTTCCCTCATAAAGTGACCCTCAGTGTATCTTAGCTTACACTAATTAAGCGTGCTCTGATTTATTGCTTGCGAAGATTGAAAAATTCTTAGGAAAATGTTGTAAGTAACAGTGGCGAAGGTGAAATTTTAGCAGACGAAAGCCGCTCCAAAAAAAAAACATACATACAAACGTTGATATACAATTTTCATAAGTATATTAATGCAAAAAAACAGAAATGTAATTTTGATAATATTTTTTTATAAGGCTATTATAATTTTTTTAAATGTATGTAAAATACCTATTCTAGCAAAATACATAACATTATTCTATACGAGTATAGATAATTTATAAAATGCTTTGTCCTGACTGACCGCTGATCGTAGAAACGTGAAATTTAGAGGACACATTCCTTATATGATGTAAGCATCCGGTAAGAAAGGATTTTTCGAAATTCATCCCCTAGGGGGGTATAATAGGGGATGAAACATTGTATGAAACTCTGTTATTCTTAACGCGAATTACACGAAAAGTGGTATTTAACTTTAAAATGACATAACATAAAGCCAAAAAGCTAGTATTTCTTATAGTTATAACGCGGGCGAAGCCGCGGGCTCTTCTTACTAGCAGTAATAAAACCTCATGAAATATTAATAGCACCATCTATGAAAATCATTACGCATCACTTGCTAAATGAAAGTACGAAATTTGATTTAAGACCGCATTATTATATTTTTCTTTATTATGAGTATATTTTAAAAATTGAGCATACTATTTTGGGATTTAAATATTCTTTTTTTTAATTAATTTTACATAAATAAATGTAAACAATATATTTAAATATAAATACCGCCATCTACTAACATCTGTTTGAACTACTTCGTCTTTCTTACTGATGAGATTGATTTATTGTTTATTGTATTTTATTTATCAAGCCAAATTAAACGGAAATTATGAAATAAGTAGATACTCTACACAAGAAAACGAAAAATAAGAAGTGCAGGCATTATTTATTTTAAATTATAATATCCTATAGCAATACGTCCGTTTCTGAATAACCTATTTAGTATTTAGATTAATTTGTCAATATTGTTGATTAACGTAACGTATTAAAATAACTTTAACATAGGTATTACAATTTACTTCAAACTTAAATGGAATCAGAGAATAATAACCATGTAAACCAAATATTTTTCTAATTTAGCACGTTCACACATATCTATACTTATTATAAAAATAAGTCCCCCGGCCGCGTCTTTCTGTCCTCCTGTCTGTCCTCCTGTCTGTCCTCCTGTCTGTCTGAACGCGATAAACTCGAAAACTACTGAACGGATTTTTATACGGTTTTCAACAATAGAAAGAGTAATTCTTGAGGAAGGTTTAGGTATATAATTTATTATGCTTTTATGTAAATTAGCTGAAATACGGCGACAAATGTTGAAGAGGTCGCAAAAAATCTCGCCAAATGGGAACTTTCCACGCGAACGCCGCGTAAACTAGCAAAGATACAGTTAAGTAATGTACTAGAGAATTCAAAATCTATAAAAATGCTACAAAAAAGTCCGCGATAGCATATCTCTATCTCTTACGGTTGACTTACAATAACCACTTTTATGTTAACATTTTTAATTAAAAACATTACGTTATTTTCAAAGTTATTTTCTTTAGTTCGGTATTAATCCTTATCCAAATGAATATTTTAGTTAGCTTAGTCATTTAATGCAGATTAAAATTGCTCTTTACACTAAATCAATCAGATGAATAGTTTTTGAGATATCGTTGTTAGAAGTAATTAGTAGCGAAACATTTTTAATGCTTGGCGAGCATTGAGATGCCTACGGCGAGTCCATCCCCTCTGCCCCGCATCGCTCGACCGCCTGCTCAAGCTATATAAACCGGGCGATGTAGCGCGCGATCCTAGGATACTTTTTACCGCGGGAAAATATCTTATTTCTGAGGAAAAATACAAAAACTGCAATGTAAGAGTATACTAATATGTAACACCTAAGAATTTGGTTTTTGGTCATCTGAACGCGGGCGGAGCCGCGGGCAATGCTAGTTTTTTTGATAAAAAAGTTTGATGAAAATATTTAGATAACTTATTTTATATAATAATTAAATAATATTTCAAAGAAATGAGTAGCTTGACGACATACTTTTTATTTATTTAACACCTAAGTTTAGAAAATTAAAGTCAATTATAGTAGGTAGCAAATTAATACCCCAATGGTTAATAGAACTCACCGAAATTAACAAATATGTGAAATACACACATCCAACAAACAAACACAGCACAAAATGTCTATATTACGCTAAAATCAAGTTAAAGCCCTATAAAACAAAAAAAATGTCATAAGCAATACACTCGTAAACAATATCAATTCGCCATACTAAATTAATTATATTATTATTAGTTTCTTTAATGGCTTATACTTGCGTTAACAGACGCAATCCATTCTGCCAGTGTCACGTTTTGTGAGGAAGACACGAATGAGATTGAGCGGTAATTTTGAAATTTGGTAACTTTAATGTGGAATTAAAATTATAAATTATTGATCAGTCTACAGGAGTAATCTACAACAATAATAAAATAATTACGTAATACAATTTCTTTCAATATATTTACATTACTCACATCGCCTGACATATAGTGACATTTTGTAAATTCTGAGTTCTGACCAATCACAAGCAGAATATGACGTTCAGAAGCGGCTTTTCGAGCAACAAAAATTTGATTAATGTGCATGCGTAAAATGCTAAAATTGAATGACGCCATGCTTCGATCAACAATACTACTTGATCGAAGACGCCATTAGACAATGTTCAATCCAAAAGCATGAATGAAACACAATTCAGTATGAACACTCTTAGAACAAGCTAAAATACAACGTTTTATCATTGCGTTTCTATGAAGAAAAAAAGCCTAAGCAATTTAGAGCGTATTTTTGCGGTCCAAGCGTGATTATGATTTATTATTTTCAGAAATGGACATAAGTCGTAATAATCAGTTAATTTTTTAATTACTAATTGTGTAAAAATTGTGTGTATTATTATTAATATTTAATTATCAAAAAATAAATATTTATAATAAATTCTGAAGCGACTGAACGTATAATATAAATAATATGTTGGGATATTAACACACAGCACCATGGCAAGCTACGAGTCTTGCGTTTCCAGAGGCCAGACAGTTGATATACTATACACATATAACTTTAAATACATACATACACCCATGGAGTATGTACAAACATTCGTGCTCATCACAACAAATGAACGCCCCCAGCGGGACTCGAACCCGCGACAGCTGCCACAGCAAGTAGGGTCTCTACAAAACTAAGCCAAACATGTCGTCAAATAATAATTACCGATTGTCTAAAGCTGAATAAGTCGTAGCTGCTTCCAATGCTGGATTGGCCAATGATTCCAAAATCATTCTCTTTGCGCCTTTTTTTTTTTTTTTTTTAACGTTGGGAAATGCATTTACGCACGACGTGTGGGACTCACCGGCGTAATACAGCCAGTACTACCCACTAAAACCCAACAAAACCTTCCCCCGTCTTAATGGGGCGTCGCAGGATCGCTTACGCATTCAACTACGACGCCCCGACGGCAGGTCTGCCAAAGCAGACTACCACGACCATGGGGTTGCTCCAAAGTCCACTCTGCTATCAGAGAAGTACCAGGAGCAACCCGCAAGGTACACCGCCCCCCGAAGAGGGCCACCTCCCACAGCCCACCGAAGTGGGCAATTCTCTTTGCGCCTACTCTGTAAAAATAATATATTAACTTTAATATTTAATAATCAACATCATCACAAATCATAACCACATATAAAATGGATGACAGTTTTATCACTATAGCAGAAAAAGTTATCGAGATATCAATTAACCCAAGCTAAAACTAACAGCAGATAGTTCTTTAATTTTTTTTCTAGCTTGCTTAAGTATGAAATTGAAATTTAATTCTTCTATAATAAAGACGCAATTCACGAGTCAATGTATAAGTATTCTATTTACTAATGATTTTGACGATTTAAGGTAAAGCAACAGCAGGTTCATTAACAGGCGGTTCAAATTGTTTCAAATAGTTTAGTTGTCATCTTGGTATTATGTGAGTTATTGGAGTTTTTTTAATAATGTATACATATAATAAAATTGTAACTAAGCTGAATCTGTAAGTACATGAAATACGTTTTAGAAAATCTTATTGAAATAGAGATCATTATCGATACAGAGGCGGAATCTATAGTTTTTTTTAAAATACTGTCTGTCTGTCTGTGGCATCACGAGAAAACCACTGAAGGGATTTTGATGAAATTTGGTATTATGATAGGTGGTTATCCGGGTCAACATAATATAGAGTTTTTACTGCGGGAAAAAATATCATCTCTGAGAAATCTGTACTAAACGTTAAAACGTGAAGAAGTAGTTACGTCGTCGCTATTAAAGAAATAAGCGATAAAACTATCTTTTCGGATTTTTTGGCGGATTTATTTTGATTTTTGGTCTTCGATGTTTCTTTTCGGCAATCATTGTCAAGGCAGAAACTCTCACTCTCACAGTCAGAAAAAAAAAGTTTTATTCTAAGAAAGTATTAAATTAGCGATAAGATTTGAATATATTACTAAATTCAATACTAACTTTAGATATCTATATAGTTCACAAGTGGTCCGCTCGGAAGCAATTTGTAACTTGGTCTTAACAAGATAGTGTTGGCAGATCGCTTTAGGATTCGTCCTTACACTTCTACACCGTAGTTAGACAAATCACTTCATGTTTAATTAGAGTTTCAATTACAAATTTGATACTAGGTAAATACTTAGACATTTATTTATTATATGATGAAGTGACTATTAATCCAGTAACTGTATAAATACTAAGCGCCTCGGTGGGGTAATGGTAAGCACGTACCGCTGCACATCCGGATGTCCTGGTTTCGAGACCCGGGTCGGGCCAAGTTTAGTTATTGCATCTTTTTCTTTAGTAAACTTCAGTAACAGCTCGGAGTTGGGAAGTTGGCTAAGTTTCACCCTCGTGCACCGGAGAGCACGTAAAGCCGTCAGTCCAGCGTCTTACTCGCACTGGTCGTGTCGTTCGATCCACCAGAGTATGAGAGTGACAGGAATAGAGAGTGCACTTGTGTCCGAGCACATACTAGTGCACTATAAAAATAGCCTCAATGAATAGGTTGTTGTGTTGGGGGTTTTTTAAATTTTTAATTTAACCGTTCATTCGTACAATTACTGAATTAATAGGTTCAGCCTCTAGTTACTGTTTATAGATAAATAATTATTAATTATATATATATTTTATATATACAGTTGTTGGTTTAAAAGATTCAGCATTATAATCATGTTATTGCTGACTACGTTTGCATCTAATTTTACTTTAAGATATGTTTTGTTATTTGGTTTAATAAATAGATTTCTTAAAATAAAAACAAATCTATCCCAAAAAACTGTAATTTTTTGGGACAAAAAGTAATTTATGTGCTATTCCAGGCTATAATACAGGGTCATTTTTAATTTACTGAAAACCTTTTGGGAATAAACTATTTACAACATAACAACAACATCTGTAAGAAAAAAAAAATATGTATCTTAAATTTAACAAAAATAAAAATATTTTTATTGCACCTTTTAAACGGTAATAGTCCAGCATTAGCAAAAGAAAGTGCGTATCCGGTGGAGGGGGAGGGGTGGAGGGGTGTAGGAAGTTGCGCTTACTCATTTAAACTTGGCCTGATGCTAGAACTTTAAAGTTTGAACCTTTTAACCTGGGTTTTTTTAAAGGGTTTTAACAAGAAACCCTTTTCATAGGGTTACCCAGTCAACAGGCTTGATATCATAACATCATATGTTTAATAGGGTTAACCCTATCTGTTGGGTTAGGTATTAGGTTACCCAATAAATAATGGGTTACTTCATATATAACGTGTTATCTAACAAATATAATAGTACAATTTTAGTCTCTAAAATTATTAAGAAACATTACATATTAGAGTGTAGTATAGAAAACATAAAAAGGCGGCAAACGAACACCTACGAGTATTAACGTGTACGGACATGTTTCTTTCGTTGTTTAGGTGTCTAGGCCTGAAGAAATGCAATTTTATTTTATTCGACAACACGCGAGTGATATGAAAAGTGCTCTTAGTCTTGTTATTTTAAAATGCCTCCAATTAAAACCGATGCTGTTCATCCATACTTTAATTATGACAACATCGAGAAGAAGAGTAAATGTCTGATATGTGGGAATAATTTAAAGGTAAGTTACATAATTATCATATTTAAAATTTAATAATTATTTATGAATCATTTACTGTCTTCCAAAAGTTATGATTACTACTAACGTTGCACTTATTCATATGAGCGTTTTAACGAAAGAAATCCATATATTTCACTTATTTATATTAAGAATGTGTTTTTTAAAGTAAAAATGGAGCGAATTTTGATATTTTTTCCTACTTATGAATTATTTGTAATATTGTAAATTGTAGTTATAAATTCTGTAAATCAATATTTAATGAGTAAAAGTTGAGTTTTTCTCACGCTTTTCTCCTGTGGTGTCATAATAGGGTGATGTCATTAACCTACTTTAAGTTAGTATTTAAGCTATTATATCTTATTATATTAGAGTGTATTCGAACCTAGTGTTGTCCCGCTCCGAACCCTATATGGCGACCCTGCCAGCGCGTGCGCGAGTCCGGTGTCCGGCCGTATATGGCAATGATAAAATAAACACTAAGTGAAATGTAAAGTTAAAGACAATAATTATAATTATGGCGTTTTTATATTGCGAAATCCCATCCAGAGTGACTGTGAATTTGTGGCAAAGACTTTATCAAAAATTAAAAATATGGGCAAGCAGCAATCCAAGGAGCAAGAAATTATAATCGCACAAAACGGAGCTGGGAACTCTGCCTCCACGGAGCAATTATTGTGGCATGCCACCTCAACATCTTATGCTCTAATCGCAATTTGTGCTCTTCTTTTTGTTGGGGCCGCGATAATCCTGTTCCGATATTATCGGAAATGCCATGGCGAATGGATCCAGCGTGGGATAGAGGCTTATGACTTGAGAAGGTCTATGAGCACGCTGCGGCGACGAGAACGTGGGTCTGCTGCTACAGGGAATTCATCAGTGTGAGTGTGTGTGCGTGATGGTTCTTAAAAATGCGTAACGAATATTATTTGTTTATTGAGTGTCATGTGTGTCAAGTGTGTCATGTGTGTGTGTGTGTGTGTGTGTGTGTCGTGTGTGTCATGTGTGAGTGCCATGTGTGAGTGTCATGTGTGTGTGTCATGTGTGTGTGTGTGTCATGTGTGTGTGTGTCATGTGTTTATATGTCATGTGTGTATGTGTGTGTGTCATGTGTGTATGTGTGTGTGTCATGTGTGTGTGTGTGTGTGTCGTGTGTGTCATGTGTGTGTGTGTGTCGTGAGTGTGTGTCGTGTGTGTGTGTCATGTGTGTCATGTGTGTCATGTCATCATTCTAATATAAGTGTAAACCTATGTAACCGTATTAAAAAAAATGTATTATGTATCCTTAGGTTATGGCAGATGAAATTAATGAAATATTAAAAGAATTAAAGCATATTAAAGATTACCTAACGAAGTTAGGGCCTAGACCTAGATGACCTTCTACATCTAGTGTAAGAGACAAAAAGAGGGCCGAAGCAAAATTTTTATATGATAAATTTTGGTTATTAAGTAAGTCGATTATAAAGCAAGTAGAAACTAAGGAAATAAAAAGTTCGGAGAGTCAAAAGCTTTGTGAAATATTCGATACAATTAATTCGATTTATTCGAAAATACTTCAACTTTGTTCTGAAAACATAGGTAGGTATCATAGTACAACAATCATGGAGAAGTTTGAGTTAAAAACTGCAGTTTCTCTGTTGCCAGTTATGACGGGTGATGAGAATGTAACTAAACAGTTAATTTCTAATATAGAAATGTATGAGTCAATGATTGATGATGATAGCAAAAAGCTACTGATACAGTTTGTTTTAAAATCTAGATTGTCAGAAAGCGCCAAGCTGCGCATGTTGCATGTCAGAACTGCTTTTTGAGTCGGTGGTAGTACACCACACAGATAAACTACTGACGAATGACGATTTGGTATATAAAATAATAAAATAAAGTTGATGCTAGAAAATCACTGAATATAAGAAAATATGCAAGGAATATCTCGAAATTTTATAAGTGTCATCCTTGATCCTACACTATACTTATTCAGAAATACAATGAGGGCGTGTTTTTATGGTTATTGTGTATGTATGTGTTTGTGTGTACACATGTGTGTGCGTGTGTAATGATGTGTTCGTCACTTCTTCTCACTGAAACAGTTGGAAGGGTTTGGATGAAATGAACTGTGACTAATTATGTACTTGGAGTAACTATAGTATACTTTATTTTTATGTCTAATCTTTTTTTGTTTGTTTTAGGGTAAACATACTACTAATTTAAAAAATCATTTATCGTTGAAACATTATAATGAGTACAAGAGTATTATGACAATAAATAAAGAAAATAGTAAGCCACAATCAAAGGTGTCTTTAGAGCGAATTAAACAATTAAAACACAATTGTGTTAAATTAGTGACCATTCATGGAAGACCTTTTGCTATTTTACAAGACCAAGCTTTCCATGACATTATTAACAAACATAACACACACACACGACACACACACACACACACACACACACGACACACACACACACACGACACACACACACACATAACACACACACATGACACACATGGCACACATGACACACATGGCACACATGACACACATGACACACACACACACAACACACACACACAGACACACACACATGACAAACATGACACACATGACACATACACATGACACACAGACACACATGACACACATGGCACACATGACACACATAACACACATGACACGCATGACACACACACACACACACACACACTTGACACACACACATGACAAACATGACACACATGACACACACACATGACAAACATGACACACATGACACATACACATGACACACATGACACACATGGCACACATGACACACATGACACACATGACACTCATGACACACATGACACACATGACACACACGACACACACACACACACACACATGACACACACACATGACACACACACACACATGACACACACACACATGACACACACGACACACATACACACACACACATGACACACTTGACACACATGACACTCATGACAAACACACACACACATGACACACACACACACACACGACACACACACACACACGACACACACACACACGACACACACACACACACACACACGACACACACACACGACACACACACACATGACACACACACACACGACACACACACACACACACACACACACACACACACACACACACACACACACGACACACACACACGACACACACAACACAAGACACACACACACACATGACACACATAACACACATGACACACATGACACACACACACACATGACACATACACACACACATGACACATACACACACACATGACACACGCATGGCACACACACACACACACACAAGACACACACACATGACACATACACACACACACACACACGACACACACACACACGACACACACACTTGACACACACACACACACGACACACACACACACACGACACACACACATGACACACACACATGACACACACACATGACACACACACACACACATGACACACGCACATGACACACACACATGGCACACATGACACACACACACACACGACACACACACACACATGACACACCACACACATGACAAACATGACACACACACATGACACACACACACACACACACACATGACACACGCACATGACACACACACATGGCACACATGACACACATGACACACACACACACAACACACACACACACATGACACACCACACACATGACAGACACACATACACACATTACATACAAACACATGAGACACACACACACATGACACACATGGCACACATGACACACATGACACTCATGACACACACACACACACGTCACACACTCACGACACACACACACACACACATGACACACACGACACACACACACACATGACACACACACATACACACATACACACATGACATACAA